TTGCCGGTCCCGGTCCAGTATGGGCACGACACTGAGGGTTGCGATCCGTTGCTGGTCATGAAAAAAGACAAAAAAGGAAAAAAAAATATCTTAGCTGGAAGATTAGAAAGGTAGGTCAGAACTTAGCTCTGACCTCCCACTACTTCCCCACAATGGGTTATTCCACTTTCTGAGAAAACACTCCCATCCCTGCTTGGGGGCTGACAGTGCTTTTTCTTCCCAGGAAGGCATTTCCTCTTCTGTGTCTCTCTGAGCCTTCCCTGTCCCTCAGGAGTCCCCTCCTGCAGGAAGGCTTCCTTGCCCAGTCAGTCCAGCGTGGAGTCAGTTCTCTTTCTAAAAGCCACTGCCAGCTAAAATCATGCTTTTCCCTTCTATCTTACTGGTTTACATGATCTCTATTTCTCTTTTCATCTTGAGAATCCCCTACAGTGATTAGCCTGGTGCTTTGTACAGAGTAGGCAATAAACATTAATTTACTAATTCTTAGAGCAGCCAAGAAAATTGCAAGTGGGTATCTCCTGTGTGAATCTCCTGTACTCCCCATGGAGGTCAGCATCCATGTGTTTGTTTATATGATCTTGTTTTAGTAATAATAATAATAATAATTTTTCTCCTCATCCTGTCTTTTGCATAGTTGATCATCAAAGCATAGCTGCAGGATGTAGCATATTAATTCTAATCAGTGTCTTCGTGATAATCCTAAAAGTGTTCTGGATCGATGTTATTCTGCTCTGGAGAGACATAGCTAGACCTTACCAAACTAAGAATGGTAAGTGGCAAATTTCAAGTTTTTCTTCAAAAGAAAAAGTCTCATAATGACTGTTGGTTACTTGTCTATTAATCTCTTAATAGCTCTGCTATTAAACCTAGATTACATTTTTTTTACTAACATAGTATCTGTGATTTTAAAAAAATATAATCAGAGGCCATTTTTCATTGTGCTGTGAAGCGCCTTGTGGTTCTGAGATTCATCTCAACAGCTCAAATTTCCTCCTCAATACAACTGCTGTTTCTACTAAATCCCCAATAACAGAATGTGCCCCAAACCCAGAACAGTTTAAATATTTTGGGAAATACATGTTAGTAAGACTTTATTAAATTAAACACAGTAAAAATATTACTTCTGTTTCCAGATGTGAGCTAGTTGGAAAGGTCCATCAGAATGCAGGTGTCTTTCCCCTGAAACCATGTTCCATAAATAATCTTACCTATGCTCATAGATATTATACACATGCAAGAAGACAGTTCTGTCTGCTAAATATGAACACCATTCTTCCATTTGGAGGCATCCATACATTAGCTTTTCCATATGATCAATTCAAGTAGGAGCTAATTTGATTTGTGGGAAATTCAGAACCCTTAAAAATTTCTACTTTCCTGCCACTATTAGCCTTTAACATTTTACTTCCCCGGGGCAAATATGAGAGAAATGAAAGATCAAACAGGTCTTGCAAGACTTGTGCACCGTGCACAAATCCCACACATCGGGATGGCTCACTTCACAAAGACCATGAGACAGAGACCATTTCAATCAAGCAAAAGGAGTTTATTCCAGCATGCTGGGGTCACCCAGTCTCCTGGACAAGAGCAACCCTGAGCACTTAACACAGGAGCTTTTTATACAGTTTTCTTAGACAGACTTTTGCAACAGGATGAGTTGTATACTGCTTACTGGTTATCTGAGGTGACCTTTAGATTTGTTGGTGGGCTTTAGCGGGCTGGCACACCAATAAGGAATGGGGTGGCACACCGATAAGGAATAGTGTATTTCCCAGTCGTTTATCTTCCTTGTGGCCAGGTGGCCTCTAGATAAGGAACTGGTCAGTTCCTGGAACCGGGTGGTAGTTACTCCCTTCCTGGAATTTAGTGTGCCTGGGCCCGCCTGACCTCTACATAACCCCTTAGAAGCTGCCTTACTTAAAATGACATTAGTTATGTTTTTCCTGTTTTTAGCAAGCATTTGTACAGAAGCAAATTGCACATGTTAAAGTTATATTTTTTTCTACACCATACTTCAAAGCCTCACATAGGCATCTCCCCTCTAAAGCCCATGCATGTTTATATGAGAAAGCTGAGGTTGTTTTTTCCCTTTTACTTATTTAGTGACTACAGTTAGACCATAGTCTCAATTTTCACTATTTCATTCATTTTAAATCAAGATCAGGCGGGGGGGGGTGGAGGGGGCAGTTACTGTGGACTCTTCAGATGAGCCCATCCACCAGCTGAGTTCCAACAAATGATCTTCATCAATATGATGGGGACCAGAAGAATTGCCCAGCTGAGACCTGCATGAATTACTGACCTATTAAAACCATGCAATATGATTGTTGTTTTAAGCCACTAAGTTTTGGGACAGTTTTGTAACCCAGCAGTAGGAACTGAAACACTTCAGAGCAGACTTTATGTGGGTTCTGTGCAGAGTTAGGTAGGCAGCTATTTGCTGTACTACTCAAGATCCACCAAGCCTTGTCCCCGAAAGAGACCAGGAAACAAACAAACAAAAAAAAAAAACCCAAGGATCTTCTAGTATTCAAGAAGAGTATCATAGAAAATTTAGGTTAGCTGTATAGAAGAACAATCTGACGTTGAGAGTACTTCAACAGGACACTGCAATCCCCGGTAAGTTTAGATCAAATTTCAGCTGATTGGATAAAGAGGAAAAAATCCAACCAGGCCTTTTATGTAGTGGCATTAGATTTATAAAGCCTACTAATGATCAACTGAATTTTTTATTGACCTGATTGAATGAGCCACACAGTTTGATATCAACATGGGTGTCATTAGGTCCTAAAGAGAATCTAGAATCTCTTTCAATAATGATGTTAAAAAATATAACAACTGCCTTACTATCTCAAAGAAAGAGAATGTCTTTCTTAAAGAGAGAAGAATAAACAAGAAAAAGATCATGCATTAAGATGTTTTCTAGTTCTTCTAATCAGTAACTAAATTAAAAAATATAACAACTGCCTTACTATCTCAAAGAAAGAGAATGTCTTTCTTAAAGAGAGAATAAACAAGAAAAAGATCATGCATTAAGATGTTTTCTAGTTCTTCTAATCAGTAACTAAATATATATATATATATAATATATATATATAATATATTTATAAATCATGACTCTGTGGGTGCATACATATATATATACACACATATATGTACATTGAACTTTTTTCTCCTTAACTAGAATAATGATTAAAATATTTAGCCCACATTTATTGCAAACCTATTATATGCCAGATGTTGTAAACTTCTACATCCACCACCTTATTTAAGATAGTTATTAAATACTCACTTTCCTTTTCCTTGCAAAAAATAAAGTCTAATCCCTCTGTAGCCTGAAGGAAACCACTTAACCTTTATTCTTCAATTTTATTTAAAATTGAGATGATAATATTTATCTCCCAAGGCATCATGTATTCTAATTAATTAATACTAGCAAAGGTCTCGAAGACAAAAAAATGTGGAAATTCTAAGCCCGATATTACCATGTTTTTATTCTTTACAGTGCCCTTGATACCCTTTTCCTTTTCTTTCTCATTTCCTGTCAGTAAGGTAACTTTTAATCGGAAACAATTTGACATTGGCTGTATCACTGCTACCAGCTATTACCAAAATCACTTGGCTAGAGATGACATTTACCCCAATGTTTATATATACATACCAAAATGTGTTTACCAAATATAAGCAAGTTTAAGTGAAAATGATAAAATAGAATTCTTTTAATATTGGCTTCCATAAGATCTCAAATACATATGACTACATAAGATAGAGTATGATGGTCTGTGTTTTATGTTATCGGTGAAATGAGATACTTCAAGATAGCTTCAATGTTAAGTAAACAAATGGAAAGGACAGTCACCTGCTCTTTAACTTTTCTAATGGGGAGCACTTCCATTTAGGATTGCCCACATCACTGAATATGTTTAGAAATACTCAGAATAGTACTCTTATTCTTCTGAGGCTACTTTTCAATAACTGAATAACAATTTTATAAACTCAGTACCAAGAGCAAAGCTCTTTAAAAACTACAACTTCTTATTGAACTTCCTTGAAATAACATTAAAAATTCCAAATACGGCACATTTTATGTGGCGTTCATGTGAATCACATTACTGCTTGATTCCTAATACGTTTAGCAATGAAAGGACCGCAGACATCCAAAATATAAAGAAATGAGCTTGCAAGTAAGTAGAATGGGCAAATCCGTGAACTTTTAGTGTGTTTTCTTTAGGCCCAATGCTCTATTTTAAATGAAAAATAAACCCCTCTTTCCTCCCAGTGTCAAGGTTAATTTCAATCTCAGTGCCCCCTTCCCTTGCTTTTCCACTTCCTAACTGGTTATCTGTGAATCATGAGGTGATTCTGAAAAAGTGTTGTCTTCCAACCTAAAGCAAGGTATTTTCCTTAAATTCTTTCATATTCTGAAATTTAAAGAATTAATTTGGAAAATAACATTTCATAATCAATAAACGATCTAAGTGCTTGCCTTATCAGTCCCAAAGCAATTCTATCACCAGTGTTAATAAACATGACATTTTAATGTATAAATCCTCATAAACTGTCCAAGATACAATATAAGGCAAACGCAGCAGACAAAATCTGTGCGGAGCTTGCAATTTATATTTAGATTACACAAAAAAATAAAATACTAATGGAATCAAAATAGGTTGGTATATTATAGCATAAGCACAGTGTTTGCCCAAAATTAGGGCAAAAGAAGGATAATTACATGTCCTTAGACAAATGATTATGCCATCTTAAATTAAGAAAATAATAGTTTAGGAGCTGAAAATGATACAACAGAAGTAAAACTGTCTTAAACAAACTTCTATAAGTGGCAGATATTACTGTAATTATATAAATGAACATAAACTCAGAGAAAAACACATGTTAAACTACTGGATGTGTCAAAAAGGATGGGATATAGAGAAATGATACAAATCTATTCCAGGTTGAAAACTTTTCATAGGGTGACATTAAAATGCTAGAGACCTAGCAATATTGCTTGTTTAAAGGTCATGCATAATGTGCATGCTTAGAAATATTTCATGCTTGCAGGACAAAGTGTCCAGGATGGGAACAGAAGGACATCCAAAAGAAGAAGTTCTGGGGGTCTTGGGACTAAAGGAAGTCATGTGTATGAATGAAAGGAAGGTGGCAGTTTGTGACCCAACTGTTTGCTGCCTTACTCCTCCAGTTTCTGGGGCCACCCTCGCCTGTGACTCAAAACAAATAAACAAACAACCTTCTGGACGGTGATATCTCGCCAATTAAGAAATGAATTAAAATTAACATCTCAGGAATGGAGAAGCAGGGATAGAATTGGGAGTGGGCTTTAAATTCATTTCAGTGTGTAAATAAAACAAAACAATTATGAGAATTGCAGCTGGGAGAATAACAGAAGGTAAATGGTACAAACTGTGAGAAAATAAAAATAATGTAATTAATACAATTCAGGAGGTGGGAAACAAAACAATTATGAGAATTGCAGCTGGGAGAATAACAGAAGGTAAATGGTACAAACTGTAAGAAAATAAAAATAATGTAATTAATACAATTCAGGAGGTGGTAGGAACTGCAAATATGCTAATTTCCTAATCTTGCCAAGCAGGGAATGTGGTAATTAATGTTGTCTAAAAGTGAGACTTGTTGTTAACAAATAACTACAGTTTTTTATAAGGCTTTTGTCCCTTAACTTTAGATTCCTCCTGAAGTGGAAAATATTTTTCAGAAGTTCTACAGATCCTCCAATTACACTTTAGTTTCTTT